GTTGTCACATTTATTTTTTAAATTCAGTTATAATTTTCAGATAATTTAGAAAGACTCAGTTTATGTCAAGTTTAGAAAGATCCACAAACAAAAAAAGCAAACAAGTCACAATCAACCTAAATAGTTTATGCAACCATGAAAAAGAAAGATCATAGAGATTCTTCAGTGTTTGTTACATTTTTAAATTATGTTCTTGGGAAAAAAAAAAGCTGGGAAAACGAGGAATTTTATTTGTATGGTTAACTATGTTGAACATTCATTATGTTCTTAACTTTATCACATGACACAAAATAGACAGTTCTAAATAAGCATATACTTAGAATTGCAATATCTGGAATTCCAGAAAACATTTTCATATTGTTAGACCACATATATAGTTCAATTTTCCAAATTAGCAAGGACTAAGTATTTAAACATTCATACTACATACAGCTTTTATACAGACCTACACAATATCCTAGTGAAGGCTGCATATTTCTCCGGATTAAAATCTTTGGCAGTCAGAACAATAGAAAAGTGAGTCACCTGTCCAAAATATACAAAAACATGTAGGTTAATGTATTATATATCTCCACTTTAATGCATGTAATTCTTATATTACTAAATTTAACACAGCTATCAAACAAGATATTACAGTACCAGGAGACTGACACAGTTGCAAATCTCATTTATATTCAGTAAAAAAGACATCACAAATGGCTTCTGAACTGACCCACTTTCACTGAATCAGAACTATCAATATTTAGCAGATAAAATGAAACAAAAAATTAACAGAGTAAAAAAAACCCTCAAAACACCAGACCCAGACTTTCTCCACCTTATTAACATCATACTGCAGCTATGGCAGAGAGAAGAGGACAGAACCAGAAAGGGGAGCAAAACACCAGACCCAGACTTTCTCCACCCTATTAACATAATACTGCAGCTATGGCAGAGAGAGGAGGACAGAACCAGAAAGGGGAGGAGGAGGGAAGCCTTCTCAGGTGGAGAGAATGTGAGAAGGACAGGAAGAATCACCACTGATTGTTACTGAACATGAAATGCCACTGGTCTTACAACAATTTATTAAGGAACCTGAATGTCAGAATACAGATGAAATAAAAGTACAGCTGCAATATTTCAAAAATGCATTTAAAATACTTTAGCAGAAACGTTGAGAATGCATCAATGAAAAACCTGTTATAATTATAAATAAAGAGTGAGATATAACAATGCTGTTCAAAGACTCATTTATGTGCCCATTTTTATAATATCTAACAAATTGCCTCAAACCCTTTCCATTGGTCTTATTAGAGACACAGCATAAGATGGTGATACCATTGGGGGTGGCATTCTGTGTGTGCAAAATTAATCTCTTGCACTCTGAGGGGAAAGAAACAGGGAGGGATATAATAAGAAAGTGAGTATTTACTGCTAAAAATATAAGCTAAGGGGAGTTCTACAAAGTCTATCATGCAGTGATGAAAACTGCTGAAAAACGAGCAGGATGTAAAATAAAACAAGAATATGCATAGTGTTTCTGCCTCTCTCTTTTACCTAATATCAGCTTATTATCCTTTCACAATTCAAAGCTTCCTATATAACTTCTTTCTTCTACATTGACTGGCCCTGGAGTAGCTCTCCTGTTCTCAAATAACAGACCATCTATTAAAACACCCCTAAAATAAAAATCCATGATTCACCCAACTTTCTCCTTTTCATCCTTCTCCATATCTTTAATAATTTTCTCCCCACAATGACCTATGTTACTTTTTTGTTACTTTTTGGGTCTAACTTCAAATTGTAAGCAGGGAAAAATATATGTAGGATCTACATATAAATAATAAGAGTTCTCCTTATTGTTACTGTAATTTATGACTACTCCACAGAATATATCTTTAATGCTTCAGGAACCAAATTCACCCGAAAGTATAAACTGATGCAATCCGACTGATATCAAAGGAAATTGCATCCACTTACTCAAGGGCTGCATATGTCCCCCTTTCTTTTTATCCAGCCACTTCCTTTTTTGCTGTTCATAGAAAGGCCAAATGGGGAGTGTATATTACACTTGTTTTGCATACACACAGAATACCAATCTTCTTCTTACTATATAGTTTAGAAATGTCTGGCTGGCTGGCTGTCCACCTGCGAGTATTTGTTCAAGAAGTCCCTAAACAGTATGAGCTAAGACCACCAAACTTGGTATGCAGCTTCCTCTTATCAAAATTTAAAGCAAGGTCAGGGTTTAGTTGTGCCAGGATAATGGGATGTGCATGGAATTCGACTGCTTTAGATCTCTTTATTGGTGATTTAGTCCCACCTTTTCCAAAACTGAAGAATCTTGAACTTCCACTGTTGTGATATAGAACCACGATCTTCTATACTGGCCAAATACAAAGGTGTGAAGCAATTTATTTTCATCTGTAAGGCAGCATTTTCTCAGCAACAGATCCCTCATTTCAGCTGTTGTGGAAGGATAACACCATACCCAGAGAGTATCTCCATTGGTGTCTTTTTCTATGGTGGAAAGATGTTCACTGTGAGAATGCCAAACAGCAGCAAGGAAGTAAATTGATTGGTTAATCAGATCTGTTTACTGGAATCGGCTTAACATCCCATTTTTATACTAACTACAGCACTACCCACTCATGCCTCAACTGTTAAAAGTTGTCTGTGAGTGCTTCTTTTATTAACTTTTATTTTCACATATTGTTGTAAAAGTCTGCTCTTGGCTAACTCCTGGCATGCAAAGTCCTAGGCAGGTGAGGCTTTTGAGTATGTAGAAAAGTAAGAATTTTTGTTTTCAAAGGTGCTATTCTCAGTTATGCAGCTCCTGCACACTTACTTAACTGACTCCAATGGAATTATTTAATTACTTGAAAATAAGCGTGAACAAAGTATTTTCAGAATCCTAACTTGCATAATTTAAAATCTCCATCATTCAAACTGTCACAATGCTTTGAAGTGGTAAAGCATCATTTAAGTATTAATTGTTCATTGTTAAACTAACAGACTTGTTTGGACTACATTATCAATATTGTTCTTAATTAACAATACTTTCACTTTGTATGCCAATAAAATTTTATAGTTATATGGCATCTATATGCTACAAAAGGGGCTATATTATAAATACTCAGACAGACTTCATTCCCAGATTCCATACTAACCACTAGGGATGTTAGAATTTAATCGATTAACCAGTTAAGCAATAAGATGATGCTTATCAGTTAATGTTATTGGTTAAACTCTGCCCTGCTCCCGGATGGCTTCACTGTGGCAGCAAAACCTCCTCCCCAGGAGCGGAGCCAGCAGCTGAGCTGTTTGCTCCTGCTGGTCCCACTCCGTGGGAGATGGCTGGTGACCCTGCTCTGGGGAAGGCTTTGCAATATGAAGCTTATTTAAGCTTTATACTACAGAGCCCACAGCACATGTAACTGCTAAGATTTTTAGCGGTTACATGGTTCCCTTATTAAACAACTTTTAACATCCCTACTAACCACATGCCAAATGTTGCCTTCAGATACCCCCCACATATTCCCAATGGCTTGTATCAGAGGGCGGGCTCTGGCTTTTTACAGGAATCTTTTCCTCGCTAAGTGCTTTAAGATAAACTGACATAAATAATGAAAACAAGCAACACGTGGTCATTTATATGATTCTTTCCCACTAGTTAATCAATCCTAATTACACCCCAGAAAGGCAAAGATATGTTGTTAGTCCCATTTTTATCAGTGGCTAGTTAAATTTTGTGGGCAGTTTTGGAGTTTACATCTCAGTATAGAATCATATATTTGGCAGGAAAGGACCTCAAAAAGTCATCAAGTCCAGCCCCCTGAGCTGTGGTAGGGCCAAGTGAACTTAGACAATATCTGATAGATGTTTGTACAACTTGTTTTTAAAAGTGTCCTATGATGGGGACTCCATGACTTTCCTTGGAAGCCTATTACAAGAATTAACTACCCTTATAGATAGAATGATTTTCTTAATATCTAACCTAAATCTCCCTTGCTCCATATTAAGACCATTATGTCTTGTCCTACCTTTAGTGAACATGGAGAACAATTGATCAGTGTGTCTTTTATCATAGCCCTTAACAGTCTTCCAATATGTTATCAGGTTGTCTATCAGTTTTTTCTCAAGACTAAACCTCTTTAGTTTTTCTAACTCTTCTTCATCAGTCAGATTTTCTACATCTTTCATTATGTGTTGCTCTCCTCTGGACTTTTTGCATTTTGTCCACATCCTTCCTAAATTGTGCTGTCCAGAAATGGGCACAGTACTCCACTGTTAAGTAGACGAGGACAATTATCTCCTGTATCTATTGTACACCACTTCTATTAATACATCTCAGAATCATATTAGCTTTTTTTCCAGCTATGTCATGAGTCATTGATGACTCATATTGAGTTTGTGGTCCACTAGAACTCCCAGAGTCTTTTCAGCAGCATTATCACCTACGCTAGGGGCGGGCAAATTATGAACTATGGGCTGTATCAAACCCCTCAGTTTTTTACTCCAGCTCTTGGGCACCAGGGCTGGAAGCTTGCTTGCCCTACTCCACTCATGTCTTAGCTGTGAACACATCCTGGAGACAGGGGCAGCCAGGGGTGTTGCAAACAGCCCCTGCCCCAAACTCCAGCTCTTCAGCTCCCATTGGCTGGGAACTACAGCCAATGGGAGCTACTAGGGTGGCACCTATGGATAAGGCAGTGGAATGGGAGTGGGAATAGGCTGCTGCTTCCTGGAGCTGCTTGAAGTAGACAACTCCCAAAGCCTGCACCCCTGAGTCCCTCTTGTACCCCAAGGCCCTCATCTTCAGCCCCAGAGACCTCATCCTCCCATTGAATCCCAATCTCATCCCAGCCCTAATTCCCCTTCTGCATCTTAACCCCCCGTTCCAGCCCAAAGCCCCCTCCCGCACCTTGAACTTCTCATTTCTGGCCCCCCCTTCCAGAGTCTGCTCCAACTAGAGCCCTAACCCAATCCCACACCCCAACTCCCAATTATGTGAGCATTCATGACCCACCATACAATTTCTGTACTGAGATAAGGCCCTCAGGCAAAAAAAAATTGCCCACCCCAAACTAGATGGTTTGCTGTTGTGTATTTGATTTTTTTCCTAAGTGAACTATTTTGAACTTGTCTTTATTTAATTTCATCCTGTTGGAACTAAGACCAAATTTTCAAAGTCACTTTGAATTTAAAACCTGTCCTCCAAAGTGCTTGCAACCCCTCCCAGCTTGGTGTCATCTGCAATAAGCCTACTCTCCACTCCATTAGCCAAGTCATCAAATGTAAACATCCCATAGGACCCAGAATGAAACCCTGTGGGGACCCCCCTTCCGACAGTCTCTCAATTTATCAGCAAGCCACTGATTACCCTTTGAGTGTGATCTTTCAACCACTTGTGCACTTACAGCCATTTCATCTAGACATTTCCCCAATTTGCTTATGAGAACTTCATACAGAACTGTGTCAAAAGCCATGCCAAAGATAGGGAAAGTTGGCAAAAGAGGAACAGTTCCCCTTCCCCCCGCGGGTTGGTTACAGCCCCCGCACGTGGAGGAGAAGGGGTAGGGGTGCACCTCAAAGAGTGGGGACTGTTTGACAGGTGCTGCCCTCACCGCCCTGGGCACTGAGGGCCACTGAACCACACGGCGAAGTCTGAATACGCTGGAAACCACTTTCAAGGCAGGGGGTGGGGCAGCACGTCTGCTCCAACTGAGGAAAGAAACCCACCCTAAGTAAACATCAAAACACGTTGACAGTTCACCATTAAACATAAGTGGAGTTCTGGTGCAGCTCAGGGTGTGCAATAGAACTGGGCAAACTTTTTGATCATACAGTAAATTAGTTGAAATATGTAGTTTTGAACAATGTTAAGAATTATTATTAAGAAAAGAAAAAAGTTCATTTGACATTTTTTAAATCAACCATTTTGACATTTTGCTTTTAAATGAATCATTTCATTTTGCAAATGTCCTGTCGGGCCAACATTTTATTTCAACATTTTGCTTCAAACCTCACTGTTTTGTTTTAAAACACTGTTTCAGAAGGACATGCGAAAAGTTGCAGTCAGCCTGCCTAAAATGCTTTCAGTTCTGCATTTTGGCAACTGGTGGGAAAAAATGTTTCACTTGGAAAATAACCGATTTCATTTATTTATTCAGATTGTTCACTTCAGCCATCAAACCAAAAAAATCAATCATTCAGTGAGCCATAGGGGGGAATCACACAGGGGAGAGACCCCCAGAGGCGTAAGCAGGAAAGGGGGAGCCATCCAAAAGATCTAGGGGTGGTGAGGCCACGCAGAGGGAGTCAGGGCAGAGGGAGTCAGGGGCGAGGCCGAATGAACTGAGAAACAAAATCCAGGACTATGTAGCACTTGAAAGCCTAACAAGATGGTTTATTAGATGATGAGCTTTCGTGGGCCAGACCCACTATTTGATCTGAGGAAGTGAAGTGGGTCTGGCCCACGAAAGCTCATCATCTAATAAACCATCTTGTTAGGCTTTCAAGTGCTACATAGTCCTGGATTTTGTTTCTCAGTTCATTCGGCCTCGCCCCTGACTCCCTCTGCCCTGACTCCCTCTGCGTGGCCTCACCACCCCTAGATCTTTTGGATGGCTCCCCCTTTCCTGCTTACGCCTCTGGGGGTCTCTCCCCTGTGTGATTTCCCCCCTATGGCTCACTGAATGATTGATTTTTTTGGTTTGATGGCTGAAGTGAACAATCTGAATAAATAAATGAAATCGGTTATTTTCCAAGTGAAACATTTTTTCCCACCAGTTGCCAAAATGCAGAACTGAAAGCATTTTAGGCAGGCTGACTGCAACTTTTCGCATGTCCTTCTGAAACAGTGTTTTAAAACAAAACAGTGAGGTTTGAAGCAAAATGTTGAAATAAAATGTTGGCCCGACAGGACATTTGCAAAATGAAATGATTCATTTAAAAGCAAAATGTCAAAATGGTTGATTTAAAAAATGTCAAATGAACTTTTTTCTTTTCTTAATAATAATTCTTAACATTGTTCAAAACTACATATTTCAACTAATTTACTGTATGATCAAAAAGTTTGCCCAGTTCTATTGCACACCCTGAGCTGCACCAGAACTCCACTTATGTTTAATGGTGAACTGTCAACGTGTTTTGATGTTTACTTAGGGTGGGTTTCTTTCCTCAGTTACTCTTCTGATGTGTGTGCATGTGTGGGGGGCAGCATTTCACATTCTTAAAGCCTTCTTCTCCATGACCAAGTGAATGTCCATCTCATTACCTTTCCGATCTATTTTCAAGTAAAAGTTAAAAACTATCTTTTTTACTTTTGACTGTCCTGAATTTTTCTCTTTTTCTGTTTGTTTTAACTTTGTAACTATGTGTATTATTTAACCCTGTGAATCATTGCTGGGTATAGTTATATGCAAACTGTTATACAGAATACAATTACATTGCTTAGAAGTCTTACTTATTATCAATTACTTTTATTACAGTTACATCCAAAGGCTACAAACAGAATCTGGGTCAGGAGTATTTGGCATTATACAAACACATACAATGATCCTGCAAAGTCTGCATGCAATTAAGCACATGGATAAATGTAGGATTGGGGCCTACCAGTTTTCTTCTGTTTTGAGTACCTCTTCACTAGATTGTGTGGAAAGCATAGTAAAACTCTCATAAAAGTAAAAGTAAAAAGATTGATCTTGTTTACCTCAGAAAGGGCACGTGTAAGAGAGAGCACGACAAAAGTATATAAAATAATGAAAGGAAGTAGATTGGGAATCAATGTTTTCCCTTTTTCATACTTCAGGAACAAGGGGACATTCAGTGAAATTAAAAGCTGGTAAATTCAAAACTGATTAAATAGTTTTTTACATGATATGTAATTAGACTGAAGAACTCAACCTGCAGGAAGCTGTTATAAAAATTCAGAGCAGGTTTGGATATGAATAAGAATATCTGAAGTTATAATTAATTATAACAAAAATGGAAGGAAAATTAAACTTGGAGCTTCAAGGTTTATGTCAGTCTCTAACCATAGAGGATAAGGTAGAAGCCTATCCCACACCTGTCTATTTTGGGGTTCTTACACCTTCCACTGACCTACCTACTACTGACCATTGCCAGAGATGAGATACTGGACTACATGAAATGCAGAATGACAATTCTTATGTTTTATCTGATTCTTTCTTGATAGTGTGGGTACGAGGTGGAGAAAGGGAAAGAAAATATTTCTAGTACAGTCACAATGCTTATCAGAAACATTCCATTCCACACCCAGCCTGCTCTTCTTGCTATTAACAGAAACAAGTATTTATTTCTGGTAAAATAACAATTGGAGTGAGTGCAAGGTGCCTCTGGGCTCTCACCCTATTATTAAACCACCATTTGAAATATATTATTCAGGTTGCATTGTAATTGTTTTGAGACTTTATATGTGTTTTTGTGGCTGCACAATATTGAAACAATAAGAAAACATAAGAAACCAACAATTATCAATAAAGTAAAAATTCCATTGAAATATAACAAAACAATAATAAATTGTCTCATTGCCACTGTAAATTGCCAGATTTCAGACCCAAGTCTTCCCTTTACTATATGTTCTATATAGTTCTGTAAAATCACATGTGCTCATGTTCAGGGATGCTAGTGCTGGAAGTAGGATTGTGAGCAACTAGTCAACTATCTGATAAGCAAAATGGACTGTAAGGTGGATAGAAAACTGGCTAAATTGTTGGGCCCAACAGGAAGTGATCAACAGCTCAATGTCTGGTTGGTGGTCAGTTTCAAGTGGCGTGCCCCAAGGATTGGTTCTAGGGCTGGTTTTGTTCAACATCTTTATCAATAACCTGGATGAGGGGATGGATAACACCCTTGGCAAGTTTGCAGATGACACTAAGCTAGGGGGAAGAGGTAGATATGTTACAGGGTAGAGATAGGGTCCAGAGTGACCTAGACAGATTAGGGGATTGGGCCAAAAGAAATCAGATGAGGTTCAACAAGGACAAGTGCAGAGTTGCACGCTTGGGACAGAAGAATCCCAAGCACTGTTACAGGGTGGGGACAAAGTGGCTTAGCAGCAGTGCCGCACAAAAGGACCTGGGGATAACAGTGGATGGGAAGCTGAATACGAGTCAACAGTGTGCCCTTGTAGCCAAGAAGTCTAATTGCATAGGACACTAAACTACAAGAAGCTCTGG